TCAAAGATGAAAACTGTATAAAGCAAAAAAGAATTCATTTAGTAGTGTGACATTTTATGCTCTTGGCTCCAAAAAGATTTATTCAGCCTAAAAAATTATATCCAGTGGTGAAAACATAGAATATATTTAATTCAGAGTCTTGGCACTTGAAAGATTTATTTAGTGCAAAAAAATAGATTCAGTATTGTGACAGGTAATTGTGTGACACTTCAACTTAGAAATACAAAATAGATACAGTAGATTTATTCAGTACAGTAAATAAATACAGTACTACTATTAGTCATGTCATATATACTGAAATTACATGACTAATAGTCAGTAGTCAGTGGGTGACTGAAGTGCCCATCCCCTGGTACACAACACCGTCGCTGTCAAACACATCCTCGTGTATATGGTAGACACAGATCCCGCAGCATTAAAACGCAGAGCAGAGTGTGCCCCTTGGACCAGACGCTGCAATGTCTCAACATGGTAAGCAAATTAAACTGATCAATGCTGTTGTCTTCAATATTTTATCGCAGGGCTTCTACGCGTCATGGATGGCACTGTCATATATGCTTGCGCATTGAACTGTCCTAAGGATCCAGTGACTGGTTTACAGATGGCAGAATACGATGTAATCAATTCGTGGTGCTTTGCAGGGTAGGTAGATTAAGAGAATGTTAATACAATTAAATTGTTAAACAATGTTTCAGAAAACGTCTCCTTAATCCTGAAGTGGTAGAAGAGTTACATACAGTCCAAGGCCTGATACTGGGCAAATCTGAGGACATGACCAGGGATGCGCCAACTAAAAATGACCAAGGGGAATATGTAGGGGGTGCTGCCATCGAATGGACTGGTGTTAAAGGCGTGAAGGGTACCCGCTGCTATTCAACTACTTGCACACACCAACATTCTAGGTGCTTGGTTGGCCCCACGGCACAAGGGAAAGTTTTCTCTGATAATGAAACATCGGAATGGACTGAAGACCTGAAAACCAGAAAACATTCTGTGAAGGTGAACTAGAACACACTCTATTATGTCTGATGCTATTAACACACAATCTAGGTCCATTCAGATGTTGCTGTCAAAGCCTTGACAATGTTTGCACCAAAATCTTACATTGAAGCAGTAACCCTTAATGCAGAAGTCATGAAAATGCCCAGAGTGGGGTCTGACGAAAACGTAATA